TAGGAAAACGAAGACCGTGCCCGGCTGCCGGGCATATAGCCACAGCGTTTAGAATAAACCCAGTTTGGAAGTTCTAGTCTCTGAAAACGCACCAGCAAACCGCCCTGAGTGATTCACTTAGGGGTTACTCCACAGAAAACCATAGGGACGCGCTGTAACCCTATTCTGGGTTTGGGTTACATTATTGTATCTATAACCTCAACCTAACCCGACCAGGCTGTGTGACTAACGTCAATGACTTAATATACATAATACAGCCTGACATCCATCCATTGGAAAATCTTGTGCCTCTACAAAAACTGCCGAACAATTACCTATATCTCAAATAAAATAATCATCTAAGCATCTAAGGACCTGTTTTGTAGTATTAGTATAAGTTAACTTTCACCTTATAAGTTATAGTATTCCAGCGTTGTTATTAAAACTAATACCTCAGTTTGCTGTGCACAGTGTAAATTTCAAGAGCCGAACCGAAATTTCAACCAACCTCCAACCGCCATGTTTCCACTGCGCATGCTTTTCGATCGGAACGTGGAAAACCCGAAACGACATAACATACCATAGCGTTGCATATATATATATTGCGTAGCGTAGCGAGCATAAATAAGCATCATATACTCGTGTATATATATAAATATTAAAACATTGAAAACCAGGAAACATCAATCTACAACAACTTAATAATTATCATTGCGAAGATATGTACTTGCCTTGTGTTTATGCCTACGCACTCTGAAAATCAGGTCCATTGCCGATTTTAGTTGCACTGAACATGGCGGCTGTCTGGTTGTTTTGATCCAATTCATCTCAGAAAATACGGCATAACTCGATAAATAAGTAGCGCCCAGTAGCGCCCAGTTACTGCGAGCAAGCCAGAGGTTTATAGATTCGTTTGAGCTATTACATGTGACGCTAGCTGAGTCGATGTTTGGATACCGACTCCCGAGCCAACTACACGTTTTTATGGGCAAGAATTTGAAACGGTATTCTAACCCTAGCAATACCGTTTCTTGGAGCTAACCTCAACCATGCAATGTGCCAATGATGCATAAATGAGTGATAATCTAATATCTAATCATCTATAATCAAGATCTGTTCGCCACTGGTTGACGTGACATCCACGAGGAACAGTTGATACATAGCGAAGTGTAATTAAAACAACGTTTTTCAAAAACAAAAATTGAAAACATTTCGTTGTCGATGTAATCGTTCGTTGTCGTGCTACTTTACTACTTAGTACTTACTATTCACAACCTCTCTCAGTTCTTTTTCAGAGATTTCCGGAATATAATCACCTAACACCTGTATAGTACATAGCAATTAATTTAAAAAGTAAGACACATTTCCATACATAATTTCAGAGTTTTAAACTATAAACTCGACCAAGCAGCCAATCTAGAGTCAACGGCGGAGAAAAAGATCTCACAAGTCACCTAAATCAAATACCAAGTCGCTAGTGAAACACTTACTATGGAGTCGGAGGGTAAGAAGAGAATTCTTGAAGTGCTACAGTTGGACGATGCAAAGGATGAGACCTGTCGCACATTTGTGATGCATGGCGAAGATCACACCCTTGGCAACTCACTGAGATACATGGTAACACTAACAGCAATGAGCTAGTATATGTCTGAATCAGAACTCGGTATTTGTGCCCTTGATTCTGGGACATTTTTATTGATAGATTATTAAAATTTGCGATTTTAGGTGAACTAAAGGGTTATGATTAAATATATATATTAGGCTTTCATTAGTAGTCAGCTGCTGACAAATACTTGAATTATACTATCAATAAAATCACTATTGTGTGCTTTGGAGTATTCTGCCTTCTGCAGGCATAGTCATGACTTTTGGGTCCACATTTGCATACATGTATACTTTCATATTCATGGGTTATTTTGCTTTAAATGTTCGTACGTTATTATAGTAACAATGCAATTTTCTAGGTAATGAAAAATCCCGTGGTGGAGTTCTGTGGATATAATGTTCCTCATCCTTCTGAAGACAAGATTAACTTTCGCATACAGACAAAGGTATATTTAATGCACTATTACTAATATTTGAGTAACAAATGAGGGAATGACTTCCTCAGGTGTTTAATTACTTTTAATAATTATATAGGAGACAGAATGTATGTAATCACAGAAATTTATAAAGTATAACAAATGTATATTACTATTCCTCGTCGTGTAGACTTTCACAAATTGAAGTGATTTCTGTGTTGTTTTAGAATGTAAACTGCAAAATAGAGATGAACACATGATGAAAATTATAACCCTTCGTTGATTTAGTGTGGCGATGGATTTTTAAACTTGTTCCTCACAATGAGCGTTTTGTTTCTGTGCACAGACCCAGCCAGCAGTGGACGTGCTACGCCAGGGCTTGCGAGACCTGTCCGGTGCATGCGAACACATCCTCGCAACATTCGAGGAAGCTGTTGACAAGTGCAAGAAGAAGCAGAACGAGGAAGTAGAGAAGATGGACATGGAGGCCAGTCTGTGACGGATAAATCACAGATAACTGACTAATAAATCAAACCACGTGTATTATCGCACGTGATCACGAACCAGTGGTGCTTTGACCAAAAAAACATCTAATAGCGCGTGCCTATTCGTTAGCTAACGATGGCCAGCGATTGTGAAAAAGATTTGCCCTTGATGGCCAACACGGACGATGTGCTGGTTTCTCATTATTGCATAGACCTCGCGTGTTCGTTTGAGACTCGGTCGATGTCGGGAAGTGTAGCTGTGTTTCTGTGCCCTGTCGATCCGCAGCACGTGTGTGACGAGTGCAGAACGGCGTGCGGCGTGGACGAGGATGTAATACCATCTGGATTCGCCATCGCAGCGTCTAACGCACAATCTGCACTCGGCATGTGCGCATCTTCAAGTGATAATCGTAACAGCACTTCCTCCTGCTCCCCGCAACGATGCTCCACGCGGAAAGACGATGTTAGTGATCGAGGCTTGACGAATCCAGCAGCAAAGAGGATGAGGGTTTCACCGAAAGGTGAAATGGCAGAGACGCAACCTTTCAGGTTCGTTCTCGACGCGTGCGACATCACAGTGCGTTCCGTCCACGAGGTGACGACGTCGCGGCGGTTTCGACTCTCGAGCGAGACAGATCGCGAATATTACGATGAGATACGGGTTGCCGTGAGTCGAGCCGACACGGCTCCTCTGAACTACAGCGTCGAGAAATGGTGCGTCAAGATTTGGAAGGACGGCGTTACGTGCGTTCGCCGTTTTCCGCACGTTGTGTCGATAGAGTACAGCACCGATCCGAAAGGTGCGTCACTGACCTGGGCAGCAGACCAGGATGGAAGGTATCACATGTGCAGTAACCCAAGGGCACTCTCATGCGTTAGTTACTCTCTACCTAAAATTTCCACCCCAGCATGTGTTTGAAAGAATCGTGTTAATTCATAATTATGTTTGCCTTTACCAGGTTGTTAGCTACGGTATTTGAAATGGGTTTAAGTTATGCAAAGATCAACAAGACGTGGGTTTAGTTACGAAATTTAAAAAAAAAAACTGAAGGTGATCATGACATAGTGTTCCTCGTTGTTTTAACTTTTAGGCCATGTGTGTTCACTCAAGGAGCTTGGATCAACAACCGTTCACTGTTTCCTTGCCAAGAACCACCCATTGCCATGGCAACTTGGCAAGCAACGGTCACCGTGAAAGACGATGCCGTAGTTTTAATGACCGGAGATGAAAATGCTGTTATCTCACAAGCAGGTGAAGGTGAGCAGCATTTTAGAAAGACGGAGAATGATGTATTGTACGGTAATACGTGATTCTATCTGAATTATGAATGAATAAGATGCAAATCCGTGACCTGCGTGACGTGACTAAGATTATAATGAGGTTGTTAATATATTTGTACACCATGTTATGCTAATTTGTCGAACAATTCTAATGTCACTCGTTTATAGGAGTGGAAAGATCATATTACCACTACACTACGACACCACTGATGATATCTATGCTAGCGCTTGCTGTTGGGTACTGGAAGCAGTTAAAAGTCCCTCTCCCATATCTGAGTAAAGTTCCCGGTCTCCCCACCTGGTGAGTAGGTGTTTTCACATACAGTTAGATGGCTATCCAGTACCCAGCAGCAAGAGCCTATGTTACTAGCGCCATCGATGTGCAAGCTTGACCACTACTGTATTCTCGTTCTAGGGTTGACCAGCTACTATTACTTCACTACCATGTCTTTGCCTTGCTCGGTGCTTGCACTAGCTGCTGGGTACTGGGTCGGTGAACAGATAGCTTTGACGAGAAGTGTCAACTTTGTTAAAGATGGGTCCCTTGCCAATCATAGGTGCCCAATTTAATGTTGTGATTTTCGATGTAATATTTTTTGACGTACTGGTGCTCATTGTAGTTCTTCTCATTAGTCTCACAATGAGCTCCTCATTTATCCATAATACACTTCGATGGGTCTGAGGTCTGAACGCATACCTAGTCCCTTTAATCTAGGTGGCTGCAGACTGTGTTTGCTAGTATTGTCTATAGTTGTATAATTTACAGTGACCTGTAAGGCAGTTTTTGTGTACACAGTAGATCAATGTAGTCTGATTATTTGCTGTAATTTCGGTCCTTTTAATCAGATTATCTACTGTTGGTTTTCTTATGTTTGATTAGAAAATGCAGCTAAGGTCAGTTGAGTAGGATTACCTACTGTATACCACTGCAGTCATTGATTGCTTGCCCTAGGTCACCATGGTCACTTTTGCTCAACGTAGGTCACCAGAGTTTGCGTGTGAACATGAAGATTACCCGTGTCGTGCAAGCACGCACCACCAGCCTGTCATCCCCACTCGAATATTTGCACCAGCCTCGGTGCTGCCATCTGCTGCGAAGCTGTTTAGTGACTACATACCGCGCTGCCTGCAGGCGGCGTTCGACTGCCTGGGACCGCATCCGTTCCCGAGACTGGACGTGCTGGTGTTGCCGCGATGCTTCGCCAGCTTAGGGATGGCCAGGTGAGATCAAATTGAAAGGCAGAAGCCGTGTGTAGCGATTCTGCTCGTAGGTTTTTCGATTTTGCATATATAATGAAATAAATACCGTTTCTTTAAATTATTGAATACGTATGCGATTTATATATATGCTTATTTCTTATATTTTTGAAAGCTTTTCTATTTAATTTTTTTATTTTAAGTAATTAAGTTTTTATAATTTTTTTCATTATTAATTTATTCAGTTAATTTATCTGTTTCAGCCCAAACCTGCTGCTGATATCACACACCCTATTGGCACCAGATGGCAGCATGTGCATCCGTATTGCCCACGAGGTGTGCCACGCGTGGTTTGGACTGCTTCTGGGGGCGCAGGATTGGACAGAGGAGTGGCTGAGTGAGGGTTTTGCGACCTTCAGCGAGGACCATGTTCATGGGTGTGCCATGAAGGTTGGCCCTTTTTATTTGCGTGCTATATCGTCACTGAATGTAATCATGTTCTATTATATAATCATGTATGATATATGATGATATGTATGATGTATTTTATTATGTATCATGTTCGTATTATGTTCTAAATGTCCTACACAAGTCTACTAAAAGTTGCTGTTTTCATCTTAATTGATTAAAGTTCAATAAGTAATTGGTTATGCGTGTATGGTAACCATACTCGTGTTTGCATTTGTAGTGGAACGAAGTACTTCGTTCAGAGCGCGCCGAACTTCGCGCATACCTACGCTACCGCACCCTGGTGGCAGAACTAGACAACACAACTCCGGACCTCCAGATGTTGCATCTTGTCGATTCGGAACGCGGTTCCAGTAGTCATAAAGGCACCGTACCTCGCTCTGACGGCAACGGGGAGCCGTACGTGCGTTACGTGAAGAATGGGATGAATCCAGAGAAGAGTTTCACGCAAGTGCATTACCTGAAGGCAGGTTTACTGACAAGAGTGTGTAGATAAATTAGTTTCAACGTGTTACTCTTATAGAAATGGCGATTATGATTCGTGTGGATTACATATAACCGTAATTGGAAAACATGGGATAAGTAAGCTGTTAGAATCGACCACTAACACAACAACAACAACAACAACAACAACAACAACAACAACAACAACAACAACCATGCACAAACAACAAGAACAACAACAACCTGCACTCATTGGCATTAGCACCAATTAATAACGATGATCATTGGCCGTGTTTCTGGATGACAGGGCTACAACAACAACAACAACAACCTACTACAACAACAACAACAGCAACAACCTACTACAACAACAACAACAACAACAACCTACTACAACAACAACAACCTACTACACCAACAACAACAACAACAACAACAACAACAACAACATCAACAACATCAACCTACACTCGTTGAAATTACACATTGGCACCAATAGATAACAATGGTAATTAGCCATGTTTCTGGACGACAGGGCTACTTCCTGCTGCGTCACCTCGCCGCTAAAGTGGGATGCGAACAGTTCTACACGTTCCTCCGCCGCTACGTCTGGCGGTTCCACGGACAGCTGGTGCTTTCACAACAGTTCTTCGCGATGTTCTTCGAGACGTTCCCGGATGTCAGGTGAGTATCTGAAGTTCGTTAGGAATGAACCGCCCGACTGTATACTGTACACTCCCAGCCATGAACTCTGTACCTAACGAAACCGCCGATGGCCTCATAAACTCCTGAATTCCTCATGAAGTCTTCTCTTCTTATGATGATCTTCCTACGGATATCCTTGTGAACTCTTGATCTTGGTTTTATCATAACAAATCTCATTAGAGAAAAGACTTATTTAGAACTGTTGCGTTTATCTGATGTTGCTTAGGCGAACACACATTTCCTTTCATATTATTACTATGAAATCCTTAGGCGAATCTTGTCATCTCGAAATCGCATTTGTTGTCTGTTATTATGTTGACAACAAATGATCATCGTCCCCAACTGGATTCCATTGATGCAATAACATCGGGATGAGATAATTAAGTAAAGATAATATATGACAGATTTGTGATTATAAATGGTGGGGATATATGGCTGCAGGTAGAACATTTGTTCTGTTATTCGTAGAGGTCTGACCGTGAAAGACATCTACAGAGACTGGCTGGACTGTCCCGGCATGCCCGCACCATTAGCTGGCTGCGAACCCAGTCCCATCAACCGCTTATACCAGATAGTGCTGGAGGAACGCGACAGATGGCGCCACGTGAATAGGCAATCTGCGAGTGCACTCAGTGATAAGGAATTCCAGGTTGGTGATCAACCTCGACGTGGTTAGGGAGAAAACGTCGGGGCTGAAATTTGATATCCTAATATTGGCAGAATTTTCCCCGAGGTGTGTGTTCTTGAATGTCAACTCCAAGGGCAGGATTTAGACATAGTGAGGCCTTAAGCTATTGGAAGCTGTAGAGGCCCTATCTCGCAATCTTGTCAACAGAGAATAAGGTATAACTGTAACAAATGGAAAAAAACGAGATTTTGAGAGACCCCTTCAGACTGTGAGGCACTAAACTGTAGCTTGTTTTAGCTTGTGCCTAAATCCAGCCCTGGTCAACTGGGTGCCTTTTTTCATTATATGTTGGAGACCGGTAGACGTTCATTCTGCAGCTGTCTTTGTTTTCCCCTGTAGGTATTGGAGCCGGATCAGCTAGTGCTACTGCTGGAGCTGCTGCTAGAACTCGATACCGTAGCGAAGGTCACCCTGGCGTCGCTGCGTCGTCAGTACCGACTCACTGAACAGAATGCAGACGTGAGACACAGGTAATAAACTGATAATTTTAATTATTTCTCTTCACTGCAAGTTG